TAACCAACCTGATGGGTAACTTATTCAACTATTTACTTATATTGCATATTTGTGTGACAACCAAGGGTTTTAGTAACACTGTAGCATTCTAATACATATCAATTATCTTATTTCTATGGAAGTCACGCTCCTGTACTTATTCCTTCTCATCCCACATCCTATATCATAATTATCCAATCAAATAATGCTTGAATAGTTGTAAGTTCCCTGTTAAATTTTATTCACTGTTGTGGATATTCAATATTTATCAAAAATTATTATTTCCTTATGATTATGTATATTACTTGTATTTTTTTTAGTCATGTTTAAATAAAATATAMCATTAGGCAAACACCCAATATTCATCATCTAAAACCCTGCAATTTTTTCATCTCCGAATTCTACTGTACATTAATGAAATATCAGTATACTAAATTTTGTTCATTTATAATTTTCAAAGTTATTAACAGAAATGAAAATAAACATCTTAAATTATGTCTCATAATATATATTTATCATTTTACTGACAACACCTATCAAATTAAAATAAATTGTCCTCATAATGCTTTTTGTTACTATATTCCAAAATTTACATTCTTTTACTTCTTATTAAATTCGGTATTCATTTGATTTGTAATATTATTCAAAACTTATATAACCACCTATCCAGAAATGTTGTTTTAGCGATAAACTTTTTTTGCTTTGATCAGATTCTAAAATAATGTTTGTATTATTTAATTATTGCAGGAGGGCAGAATAGCGATTAAACAAGTTGCCAACATTTTGCTATGTTTGTATGCAAATCGATCAGTGGAATTTGGTTTATTAAAAGAAAAAATAACAGCTTTATCCTCATATTTAGATGGTCCACTCCGGCAAATTTCAGCTTCTTAATAGCAAAATAGTACAATTATCAAATATAAATATGATTCTTTGTTTTATAATTTGTAATTATCAGTAATATAAATATATATACTATTACAAAAAAATATTAGGTAATATATATTTTATTATTAGAAAATTCATAATTTTTTTCATGTAAAACATTTTTATTTTTTTACAACTTGTATAACATCTTCATCATGCATAATATGCTGCAGACCCACTCTCTGAGGTGAATATTTTGTACTTGTACCCTAAAAACAAAATACATAATCATAGAAATTGTACACTTTTTAAAATCTATTAAATCCATACCCAAACTAAAGCATATTTAAATTGTTCAGCTAAGGTACGATGTATTGAATGACAAACATGTTCCACAGTAACACCTTTTCTTAAAATTAAACAATCATCAAAATCTGGAGGTTGACCCGGCTTTTTAGTGTACACTCGAATCAATGATAAATATTGCCACAATACTTCCAGTAAATAGTCAAGATTTAGCTTCATATTACAACTAAAAATAAAATTTTAATTTTATATTTTTAAATAGTATAGTAGTATAGAAGTATTTATATTATTTTAATCAGTGGACAAAGGGCTTTAGCCTTAATTTAAAATTGTATATATTTTAAATATATCTAATAAATAGTTTATATCTTAAAATCCATAAATTATAATACTACTGTTTACATAAAAAAAAGGAAAACCCATCCCACTTTAGATTTCTAGATCCGACATCCGTGCTAAATCTTAATAAGTTATACGAGGGGAAATGTTTTAATATGTATGTTAAATAGGGGCACCGATTTAAATCAACATGATACTACTTTTGTGAGCTAAGTCTAGAACTCTAGTCAGGTATACTTGAGGATTGTGAACATAGACAACAATATTAGGTAAATAATTATATAAGATTCACAATCAGAAGTGTATTAATTAAAGTTAATAGTTAATTTTAAAATCAGTGGCAATACTAGAATCTAGCAGTCAACTTTAACTTAGATTAATACTATACCAAYAAATGAATTAATACTGATGATCACATAATCTTTTTTTGGAGACTAACAATTAAAGTGATTTAACAGGTATGTATAAAGTTTTTTGGTGTGAATTTAAACAATCTTATAATTAAATTAATTGTATTCATGACAAAACATACTTAATCACTAAGAAAGAAATTAAGAATTCTAATATTTGAGGGTAGTGTATCAAAAAATATTTATCTTTTGTTTTAGGTAGTAAAATATATTAATACCYCTGTATAGCAGTACATTATTACTAAAAATGTAGRTAAAATTAAATGTAACTTAAAATAATAAATAACACTTTTTAATACCTGACTACAACACTATTAGGTTGTCTGGCAATCCTGTTAACTTCTTCAATAGATATTTGATCAATTTTATTGTAAACATACATACACGGTAAGTAAACACGATTGTCAGAAATCACATCAATAAGTTCATCGGGTGTACAATCTTCTCGAAATAAAACTTCTGCATTGAATATTTTATACTCATGTAAAATAACTTGAACAAGTTTTTCATCAATTCTGCTTAATGGGCAAGTAGCATTAAATGCTAATCCCCCACCTTTCTTTATCTGTATAACCAGATATACAACTATTAGATCTTAAAACAAAGCATAACAATACAAATATTACCTTGAAATAAATATTTGGCTTTCGTTTATTTAGACGTATTCCAACACTTTCCAGTTCTTTTTCCAATAATTGACGCTGAATATCTTGCTTTGTAGCATCCAACATCATCAATACTAAATCTGCAGTTCTAGCAACTGCTATAACCTAGGATTAAATGTATTCATTATCAATTAAACAATCAAAAAAAAAAAACTTTTTAGTTCTTAATATTTAGTTACCTGTCTACCACGTCCTTTTCCTTGAGATGCGCCTTCAATGATACCAGGTAAATCCAATAGCTGAATATTGGCATCTTTGTATTCAATTACTCCAGGAATGCAAGTCAAAGTAGTAAATTCATAAGAAGCTGCTTCACTTTCGGTATGAGTCAACGTACTTAAAAGGGTTGACTAAACATAAAATAAATATAACATATTTACATTACTTTAAATTAGAAAAAAATATAAAAACAATAAACTAAACTAATAATTATTAATATCAAAATTGAATACCTTCTTAGTGAGAAGGAATTGGAGGGAAAGGTTTAAAAATATACTAAAATCATACATACTTTACCAACAGATGGAAACCCAATTAAAGCCACTCTAGCATCACCAGACTTCAAYACATCAAAACCTTCTCCTTTTTCTTGTTTTTTAGATGGTTCCAACAATTGAGCACGGTACTTGGCAAGTTTGGCTTTTAATAGTCCCAAGTGGTATTCGGTAGCTAAATTGAGGATTATATCATAAATAAGGAAGTTTTAATGAATAAATAAAAAAAAAAAATACCAATACTCATTGTAACAATTATTTTACCTTTATTTTTTTGAGTTCTGTTAATTTCCTTTTCGATTTCCGATATTTTTTCGAGAATACCCATAGTTTAACGTATTCATTAACATAAACAATACCCTAAAATAAAAATAAAAATCTTTGACAAATGAAAACTCAATAACAATTAAATATATTATATTTTAGGAGAAAAAAAATCTAAGATCTAGACCAAGTAGACCAACGGAACCCTAACCTCAAGTCTGACAAGTCCTCAAGTCATGTCACAATTCCGTAGAATTTTTGTGATACGGATACTGATAGTATACACTGATACCACAGAATAGATGAATCAATTCATCTATTCTGTGCTGATACCGAGAAACCGAGAGAACAAGACGTTTAAAAAACAAAAATAATATATCTTATCAAACTTTGATATAAAATAAATATAATCATTACAGAACTATTATTATCATAGAGTAACTTTATAACTTTATAACTAACTCTATGATTATTATTAATTATTAATTATCTACAATTTGATAATATCTTATCAAAATAAGATAAAAGTGATAACGCTCGAGGATTTTTCTAACCGAACTACCGAACACGGTCGGACGGTCGACAATCGACATCAGACAGTTCAAACTTATATGAGCCAGAGCCATGCCAATATGCCATCGTTCACTGAGGCACTGAATARATGAGACATGAGTACAGCTCAAAACTTATTCACATGAAAACTGTTACATTTAAAAAAAATTGCATAAGTTTGTCGATGTTTTTTCTTATTGCTTATTATTAATCAATTAATTTAATAATTTAGTTTTATGCATATCTTAGTTTAATATTAGTACGCTTAATATTATGTATGATTATTTTTTTTGTCGATCCATTTAAAAAAATGAAAACTGAATGTTTTTAAAAAGGATTAAAATTAATTTGTGGGTGCTATTTAAAAATGTGTATCGAATACATTTCTGTGGGTACTCAAATAAAGAATTAAACGGTAGAATGAGAGTATTGAATGTTGCTGAAAAAAATGATGCTGCAAAAAATATTGCTGGACATTTGTCTGGTGGAAATCTACAAAGAGTAATCATATTAAAATTTATCTTTAAAACTCTACACTCCTAGTGCTTTTATATAATTATATTGTTTTAATAACATTTCAGAGAGAAGGTTTTTCAAAATTTAACAAAATATATGAGTTCAACCATACTTTCCAAGGGTCACCGAGTACTATGATTATGACATCTGTTTCTGGACATTTACTTGGGTACGAATTCCAAGGTTCATATCGATCTTGGACTTCTTGTTCTCCTCTTGAATTATTTCATATCCCTGTGGTAAAAGAATGTCCAAAAGATTTTATAAATATTAAGGTGAGTGATTATTTTATATAAGTTATAATGTTCGTATACATTTTAAATAAATTTATATATATATATATATATATGAATGCTTGTAAAATGCATTATATTCACTTGATACTATTATAGATATTTTAACACAGAATATGATTTTCCCAGTAAAGGACCTCCTTAGAAAAAACATGTACCAAAAGTATTACAGTTGCCAGATTGCTTAATATTAATAAGTTATTTGGTTAAATAACATATAAGTTTAGCATTTAGTATAAAAATGTAATCTTATAAAACAGTGTTTCCCAACCTTTTTTTACTCAACGCCCCTTTTAGATTCTAAAATTTCACACGCCCCCCCACCCCAATCAATTTTTTAAAATGATAAACATTTTATTTTTTAATAAGCTATTTAATTTAAGACAAAATATCATTTAACTTTTAACGCTACAATTTAGTTAATTTTAATTTTAAATTTAAAACCTAACCTAACGTCAAGTACCTGATTGATATTATTTAAGTGTTTATAAATATTATACCTACATAATTCTGTGGATTGCATTAGGTATTTTATTCTACGCATTTATACATTTCATTATAATCAGTTATAAACAAAAAAAATTTAAATGATAGATGAGCGCCCCTCTCATAAAAACGCCCCCTTCAAAATAAAAAATGCCCACAAGGGGGCGGTAGCGCCCACGTTGGGAATCACTGTTATAAAACATAAAATAATGCCAATTACCATTATATTGTGACAAATCATAAAAAAAAACTAATATCATCAATTTTATTCTAGAAAACATTAGTTCGAGAAGTCCAATCATGTAATGCATTGGTTATATGGACTGATGCTGATCGAGAAGGAGAAAATATTGGATTTGAAATAATTGATGTGTGTAGAGAAGTTAATCCAAGAATTCAAGTTTATAGGTTTGTTATGCTTTTGTTTATACTTTTCTTAAAAGCACAATTTTATATTATTTTAATTAATATTGGTTGTTTTAGAGCTATACTATCTGAAATTACTAGACCATCAGTACAAAGAGCTATAAGTAGCCTTGGGGCCCCAAATAAAAATATAAGTGACGCAGTTGATGTGAGAAGTGAATTGGATTTAAGAATTGGTTACTAAATATTTTAATTATATTAATTTCAAATTTGTTTTCATTATTATAATAATTTTAAATATAATTTTAGGTGCAGCATTCACACGTTATCAAACAATGCGTTTACAAAAAGTGTTTCCTGAAGTATTAGCTAAAAGTTTGATTAGTTATGGCAGTTGTCAATTTCCAACATTAGGATTTGTTGTTGAACGGTACAAAGACATTCAAAATTTTATTCCTGAGCAGTTTTGGAAAATTAAAGGTATTGTAAAATAAATAAATAAATGACTGTATAATTTATTATTACTGATTTTTTTATATAACATATTTTTAGTCCATCACAAAATTGAAAATTTGGATGTTGAATTTTCATGGCAACGTGTTAGGTTATTCGATGAAGTTCTTTGTAAAGTTCTTTATGAGCGTTGCAAAGAAAATCCAACTGCCTTGGTGTTAAAAGTAACTAAAAAACCTAAATCCAAATGGCGACCAGTACCTTTAGATACTATTGTAAGTAATTGTATCTTTATATGTAGAATAATAATGTTTCATTATAATATATTTTCCCATAAAATGTTTGTGAAGTTCAATGTTATTCACTTTATAGATTACTACTAAATAAATGAAAATTTCTTACTATGAATAATCAAATTTCTGAATTATTCATTCAAATGTATTAAAATTTATATTTACCGATCAGGTTATACAAATAATTTAATGGTAATTAATCATTTGTGTGGGATTTATTAAAGAAGATTTGGGTTGAAATACAGTATTAAATTTCTTAGTACTTAATAATTTTATGAGTTTGAATTGAAATACTGTAGGTTGTCATAGAAAATAATGACATGATATAAAAGTTTCTTAAACTGAGTTTTACTTATTTCAGTATATTTATTTTTTGCAACCATATTATATATTTATAATTTAAACAGAATGAAATCGTTGCAAGTTAAGTTTTTACATTTTTTATCCACATATGAATGTATATTGTGTGATACAGAATGCTAAAATYGGATTTTTAAAATAATAAATGTAATTTAAGGAGTTGGAAAAAGCTGCTAGTCGTAAACTTGGAATAAACGCTAAAGAAACCATGAAAATTGCTGAAAAACTGTATAGTCAAGGGTTTATTAGTTATCCTAGAACTGAAACAAACATATTTCCTAAAGAATTAAATTTATCAAATTTAGTTCAATTGCAAGTACAAGATAACAATTGGGGTGGTAAGAGCTTATTTTTATCAAATTTTAAATAATATATTGGCACATGTATAACTAAAAATTATTTAATTTGCTTAGACTTTGCTCAAAATGTTTTAAACAATGGTCCTTCACCTAGACAAGGTAAAAAATCTGATCAGGCGCATCCTCCAATACATCCAACTAAATATACACAGGGACTTCAAGGTTTGGTATATTTTATGATACATATACAATAAGAAACACCTGTTGACGGGATTAAAGATATTTCACATTGTTAAACAATATACTACTAAGTGAATTTAAAATTTTTTCATAATCTATTAAACTCTCATCATCTTAAATACTTAAATGTATAATTTTTACCATTTGTGTCAAATTGAGTTTATCCTTTAAATTTCAAAAGATAATAGTTTGTTTTGTATAAGAAAGCTATATCATTTTTTTTTTTCGTTTATGTATGATATGTCGTAACTTGCAACTTACAGTATATTATAGATACATGGAACATTTTAAAATTACTATAGAATATACAGTTCTTCAAAAAATTAATAATCTCCTTATTTGCCATCTTTCTAAATTACTATGCAAATTTAATACCTAACAAGGTAATTACAGATTTTACTATTCACTATTCACAATTTACCAAACTAGATGGTTGTATAATCTACATTTTACTTTGTTTCTTACATGTGAAGTTTTTATTTATGAATTATATTTGACTTTTAAATTTCATGGTAAAGTATTAAGGTTACTTATTCAATTACAATTTCTAAGTATAGCATTATATTGTTATGTTTAGCACACACATTGACTATGTTTATCTACCATTTATCAAATTGCTTTTACTGTAAATAAGTAAATTATATTACAATAAATAGTTAAAAAATGTTACCTGATATTTTGAAATTGTTGATGTAAAATACAATGTAATACTAAGCATATATTATTTTAGATAGAGAACGCAAAGTCTATGAATATGTTGTGAGACATTTCTTAGCTTGTTTATCTAAAGATGCTGAGGGCGAAGAAACTATTGTAAACATTGAAATTAATGGAGAAAAGGTAATTTTTTGAATTTAAATATTTYATATGTTCAAGTATTAGGTTCTTACTAATAACTAATTCATTTTGTTTCATAATTTTAATCTAAGTTATAAGTGATGAAGATTTTAATTTTAGTTTTTAGCAAACGGACTTCGAATTATTGCATTGAATTACCTAGAAGTTTATCCTTATGATAAATGGTCTAATAARCAGATCCATGATTACAACCAAGGGCAATCATTTATGCCTACTGAATTAGAAATGATTGATGGACAAACTAGTCCTCCAAATCTTCTTACAGAAGCTGATCTAATTTCTCTAATGGATAAACATGGCATTGGTATGTACTATTAATTTAATGTAATACAATTTTTATTTTAAATTACTGGGCCATTAAATAAATTAAATTACTATAAATATACTAATAAATTACTACACCATTCATGTGGTCGAGGAGTTATAATTATATTATAAGTATATAAATATACTGTATTAATAATTGTAAATGTACAGTAAAATAGTACGATAAGTAAAAATATAAACACTGGGAGAAAATTTTAAAACTAGTAATTACGTTTATATAATACAATGTTGGAGCTTGCTGTGGTATGGTGGTTGGCTGCAATCATTAACATGTTCTGAGGTCAAGCATTGGCCAGTATTGCTAGCTCCCGGACGAGTGACAAATCCTTATACCATACACACGTGTTCCAAATCAATCGTATTCTCTCTACATTAAAAACCAACTAACAACCTTCATGCCTTGTTTACACATGACGAGTACTCGGACGTGTCACTCGTTATGTTGCTCGGTCTTGGTAGTGGGGGTAGTCACTCGGTCCAGTGAATAGAAACTGTTTCTATTCACTCACCCGCTTATTTTACTCGTCCAATTACTAGGCCGAGTACTAGTTCCTTGAGTTCACACGGGACAGTGCTCGGCCGAGTTGTCTCTCTCGGCCGAGTACTCKTCACATGTAAACAAGGCATATGACTAATGATCTCAGACTTTTAAGCGTTGTCATTTTGAGATTTCATTAACCATTGTGAGTTTTTTTTTTAATAATTTAATTGAGAGATTCTTAATAAAGGTCGTATAATGTTATAAAATTTAGTTTAGAGTATATTAAAATGTTTTTGTAGTTATTTTTGGATATTTAAAAAAAAAAAATGTATTTTTGTGTACCTACCTTGTATTAACACCATGTAATATAGGCCATAGTAGATTATAGCTTTAATTTTCATACATATATTTTTACTGGTAGGACTTTGTGTTCTATGTTTAAATCATTTGTTGAATATCTTTGTACTTGATTGTACATATATTTGAGAATTTGATTTTTATTTCTTTGTATTTCGGGTGGGTATAGTAAAATGCACCTCTCAACATCTATTCTTTATTTATTTGATAGTTATTAAGTAKAAATTTATAAGTAATTATTTACAGTAAAAGAGCCTCATGTATCAAAATAGTTTTATGTTAACTACCATCATTAAGAATGTAGACTTTAAAATGAAGTTAATAAATTAGTGTTCATTAAAAATGAAACTATAGTCATAACTAAATTTTGAATCATGTGATAGGTACTGATGCTACACATGCGGAACACATTGAAACTATCAAGTCACGGTTATATGTTGGACTAGAAAATAATAAATACTTTGTACCTGGAGAACTTGGTATTGGTCTTGTTGAAGGATACGATAATATGGGTTTTGAGATGTCCAAACCCCATTTAAGAGCTGAACTCGAAGCAGACTTAAAAAAGTGACTAAAATTGTTATGTTATTGCTTACTATTAATTGCCATTACTTATTATTTTTAAATCTAGAACTTATTTAAATTTATAGAATATGTGAAGGTACTAAATCACCTTTAGTAGTACTTAGAGAACAAATAGCTAAATATAAAGATGTATTTATCAAAACAACAGAACAAGTATGTAATTGATTTACCAACCTACAATTGTATATTTAATATGGTTAAAATATTTTTAAATAGGTGGAAAAATTAGATCAATCTTTAGGAAAATATTTAAGAACACAACCTATTGCTTTTCAAAATAATGCTCAACATGAATCAATGACAGTAAAGAATATTCGCAAATGTCCCGTATGTAAACAAACTAATCTGGTAATAAGGAAAAAGCAAAACAATCAAGGGTTTTTCATAAGCTGTACTGGTTTTCCGAATTGTAGAAATACATACTGGTTACCTCCTAGTGTAATTGACGCACAAGTCAGTGATAATGTTTGTTCCCAGGTACCTTAATAATACAGTTTTTAATATGTGTTAGATGCTGTAAATTATATTCTATTAAAGTGTTTAATAATTTTTTAGTGTTCAGGAGATATGAAATTAATTAAATTTCAATTCAGTGTTAGAAGTATGCGACCACATTATCCAGACACTTATGAGGGTTGTATAAATGGGTGTGATTCAACATTGTGTGAGATACTTCAAGTGAACACCTCCCGTCCTTCATCTTCCTCTTCAAGTACTCAACCTTCTAACAGAAATGTTGTTACTACTAATCAAAATAGGGGTGAGATGATTTAAATTTAAATTTTTAATTGTTGGAGTATCATATATTAAATGATTTCATAAATACTTCAGGTCCTACTCATGAAAATAATGTTCATCGTCCAACAAATAATTTCTMTAGACCTGCCTCTCAGAATACTCAGCTTCTTAACAATGGTATTTATCAGTAAATTATGTAATAATTTATTAAATTATTCACACATCAATGTTTATTCTTTAAAACCCTCTATAAACTATTTATTTATTGATAAAGATTATTATATATACTTAAACTTAGTTATAGGAATATTTTTCTTAAACAAATTAAATTAATATTAATTGTTTAATTAATGAGCATAGGTATGTCTACAGTGGCAGCTTAAGGTGCCTGAGTTGCCCCTGCAATTTTTGAAGGGTGCTTGTCAACCAAATTTTAAATCTGGTGGTTTACTACTTTTATTTWAAAAAAAAATGCCATGCAATGTTTACATTGTTAAAATACAGTGAAAACTCTCTATAACGAATCTGAAGGGACCATGTGATTTCTTTCGTTATTGAGATTTTTTGTAATAGAGAGTAATTAATAGGTTTTAAATCAAACCAACCATTATAAGTTAACTTAATGTTATTTACGTAATATAGAGTTTTTCGTTATAAAGAGTTTTCACTGTAATATTATATTGCATTGTTGAATTAATGTATCAATCTCTTTTTGATTCTTAACTCAAATCGCGATAATAATATGTGGGTAACTGCCAACTGATACAATTCATGAAAATATGAATTATTTTTATAACTATTGAATGCAAATAATTAACGTGGGCATGGTACAGAGTGATGGTGACAACCTTACCTAATTTAGGAATGACCTAGTCTATAATGTAAAGGAAAAAATGTTACTACCAAAAGAAGACTTATTCTTTGAATTTTAATACATGCGTGTTATAAATTTATAATATTATAAAATATTCGAGAAAATATATCTATAATGTGTTGTTCAATGTTCTTCTTATTATTAAAAACATACGGTATTTATATAATTTATATTTATAAAATAAAGAATTTTCATCCACTAGTCACTGTCTAGTATGGTTACACATCATATATTTTGTTTATTATCTAATTTTATTATATTTTGTTATCCGGTCTGAATAGATGAATAATATTTCTGAAGTTAAATTTAAAGGTTCTGAAAATACTGTACATTATTAATTGTAGATGAATAACACAGTTTTTTTTAAAACTATAAATAGTGGGACTACCCCCTCTCCCAACCAATCAATTGAAGGGAGTATGGGRCATTTTTCGGTTCATTAAATTAACGCCGGTCTTAGCTAGACTGCTACCGTGGATGTAGTCTAGTCACGCCTATATTAATGAGTATTTAATAGTGTTAAATACTTGAAGCACACAACATTTGATTGAAAAAATTTTAAAAATATTAAATAATTAAATTTAAATAAAACATTAATGAATTAACATTAAAATGCATTACCATTATTATTTTTAGTAGATATATAATATAGTATTTCATAAGATCCTGTCTATTAAATTTGAATTCAACTTAATAAAAATTTTGAATAATTTTAACTCAAGATTGCATTAATTATAATTTACACAATAAATTTTTTAAATATTTTTCTAGATCAAGTTTGCTGTCAGTGTGGAAATGCTGCTAAACTGTAAGTTTCTTGCAACAATTAAAACATTGATGCATTTTATCTAATATATTAGCAACAAATTTCTCAAATAATAGATTAGTACATAATTGGTTAATGGTTATAGTTAGAGATGTAAGATTTATGCAATTTTTTTTTGTTATACACAGAAAAAATGTATGTAAATTTGGTAAATTTTGTATGTCACCATAGGGATATGCTTAGAAACTCCGCTATTCCTCTTTTCTAAGAACTTTTGATTATTGTTATGCTTATTTTTATTATTTACTGCACATTAGGGTGTTTTTGGTTTTATAAATTTATTATTAGACTTTATATAAGTATCCAGAAGTGTATAATTGACTTTTATTTTTTATATTTTAAATTGTTTCTTATGAATATAATTGTTTAAAATGTACTTATGAAATAAATTGTAAATTAATTAAATCAGATTCATTAGGTATGTACCTCCATAGTTGATTATGGTATGATAGTAATGTGGGCATATTGAACGTTTGACTTTTAAGTTTCAACTATCAACTATTCCATTCTATTGCTATTTTATGAATATCCATCTCATTAAGACATTTAATTTATGGTGTCGCATGATATTTTTATCGGTAAAATAATATTTAACTGTAAAAAAGTAATTGGTAATTTGCCGAGCTTACATCTCTAGTTATATTACGATTTATTAAAATTAAATATACAGATTATTAAAATAAAACATTTAAATTATTAAATTAAAATTATATTAGTTACATTAGTTGAAATTAATTATTAACATTAGTCATTAATTAAGTCTTACCTAATTAATGTTGTATTATGATGCATAATTTACTTTTTATCTCATTAGATTAACAGTTACCAGGGAAACAGCAAATAAAGGTCGTCAATTTTATGGATGCTCAAAGCCAATTTCTGCAAATGATAGATGTACTTTCTTTTTGTGGGCAAATGACCAACCTGTGCCTGCTGCTGGTCCTCCCAATACTCACTTTAACAATAGAAATAATTTTCAAAATAATAATGGACAAATTAATAATCCATACAGAGCTAGAATTATAAATAGTTAGTATTTATTTTATTATTGTTCAAAATATGTAGGATAATATGTATACTTACTCTAGTGTATATGTTACAATTAATTTTAACATTGGGATAATGTCAATATAAGCTGGATAATAAAACATTTAATTTTAATGTGCTATGTGGTATCATTAACTGCTACGAATATTATTAAATGTTGGCTAATATTAACATTTTATATTAACTGTATAATATGATATTAGCCAAGAACTTTTAGATAATATCTTATCAACAATAAATAAGTATAATTCAATGAATTAAGTAGTAACACAAAAACAAATAACCGTTGATGTAATGAGTAATAACTAGTGGGTATTTTTTCATAATCAGTGTTAAAATTTGAATTTTTCATTTACTTATACAACAAAAAAAATTGTCCTGAATCAACTTTTAGAGTTGGCTAAACTAACAACTGACTTAAGCTCCTTAGTAAAAACCTCATCAGAATCACATTGCTAATTTATTTTTCTCTTTGTCATATAGTTGAGATAAGTTATTATACTTGCTTTACTACTGTGATTCTTTTCTACTATAGTATACAGAATGTTAAAAAAAATATTTATCTATTTAGTATATAACTTTTAAAATTATCTAATATTAACTGGTTAATGTTAGCATKATACGGATGATAATGATATTTCATGTTTATAAATGAAAAATAACACAAAAGCCAAAAGGCATGGCTAATGTTGACACCATCCAAATATCAACATTACCCCTTAATATATTATTTATGTTTATAGATCAGTCAAACTCTGGTGGACAAAGAAAATGTGGACTTTGTAAGCAGCCAGGTAAAAACAAATTTAATTCATTAAGTGTCTTAACAGACAGTTCAGTGAAAACCAGGATACATTTATTTACTATTTTAAAAACCTATTTCAAATGTATCAAATGTTTTGTTCAAGTAATTCTTTTTTTTTATAGGTCATACACGGAGAAACTGTCCACGAAATTGAACATTTGTATATTTCTTTTAAATTTTATTTTCTCATCTTGTATTATGCCTATAAATAAACATATGATATATTTTTATATATAAAACTATGAATTCATTTGAAATTTGAAATTTAAAAATAGTGGACAATTATATTCCTTAATAAAGGAAAATTAAATATAAATAAAAATTAATTAATTGTGAAATAAAATGTTTATTATATTTGTTTAAATAACAAATTTTACTTGAGTCTTATATTTTAGTGATTCTGATGTACATATAAATATAATTAATTTAAAAAATAATACATTTTAGTTAAGATGGATGTTGTTATAATGGTTGATGTTATTGATATTATTATATTAACATCTACTATTACTGTTTGTTATATAATGTATGTATGTACAATGTATAAAATAGTGAAAATATAAGTAGGATGCAAAAGTGAGAAAAAAATGTGCATACTTCAAACCTGGATATTTAAATACCTTATTGATTATAAAAGTGCTTTTATAATAACACCCTAGATCCATACAAATAATGACAAACTTAAAACAATAGATTTTTGAAAAAGTAACATTTGTAAATCTACATGTAAATTGATAATGAGACTATCTTCAGAATTGTTTTCATTATGTATAGTTTATACCATAAACTGTATGGTTTATGTTGTAGAATGTAGGTGACACAATAAAAATATTATTATGTTATTATTTATACATTAAATCATTAGTGTATTTAGGGTGTTGCCACAGTAGAGGGGAAATTGCTCCAGGCATCACTTTTTTGAGGGCAGCAAATTTTACAGATAAGTTTTTTTTATATGTGAGAGAGATTCTTTTAAAAGTTAGTAGGGTGAAGAGTATTAAAAAAATTGTATATTCAGGGCTGCAAAATTCTTAATATGCTATTACTTAGAACACATACAATATAAAATAAACCAAGTTTGTGGCAACACTCATCTCGGTAGTATATGAGGCATGGCACCAATTGAGAACCACTTGATTAGAATATAATTACAAATGGTAAACTTAAGTAATCTTAAAAATAAGAGGGATTTCGTTATTTCTAAATTCAAACACTGCATATTATAATATGTACAAAGAKCAAACCAATATTTATAACCAAATCTAAACATGTAAGCAAACGTAATGTAAAAAATAAAATAACTAATGGCCTTTGTTGCCGAAGTTGTAAATGATCAATAAAAAAAAAAATTAAAAAAATATGTACAAAGTGAAAATAATTATAGACTATAGTTGAACCTGTACGATTTTAATGTCTTTCTATTCTAAATATCTAACAGACTATAATCTCAGTTATATTCTCTATTCAATAGTTACGTTAACCCATTTCTGTTGTTCAGTGCATGTCTACCTATTGAGCCAATAATTAAGGATGTTATAATACAAAGCTAGGTACCTTTTAATGTACTGAAAACTGATGTTGCAACGTTCAACAATAATGCATGCAACTTGTAACATTTATGAAAGATCCTGCCCAAACACGGTCAGTTTTTTGTGAGTAATGAACTAATGGGGCAGTTAAGAACTATTATATTGATATACATTATATATATAAAATTGTAGTTAATTTTAAAATAGTTATACTTATGAATGTTATATATCACCTAAGCAATCAAGGGCACTTGCTGAAATATAAACTAGTGAGACGGCACGAAGGAGAGGAAAAATACCATAATTTAGCACATATATATTTTTTTTTATGCAAATGATCAAATAATTAATATAAACTAAAACAGTGGGGGCATGCTTTTTTCGACACACTTGAAGACAATCAAAAAGCATATTTTTTGGATAAATTATATATTTTTAAATAAAACAGTAACAATCACTAAAAAAATAAAAAATAATTTATTGGCATAAGTAAATGTACATTATTTGATATTCTTTTTTGGTACAAAAAACAAATTTATAAATATACATAGACTATACAAAATTTAATAATAGTTTTGGTAGTTATTACCTAAACCAGTACAAACCCATACTGTTATAAAAATTAAGTTAATAAAAGTGATGTAAAAACTACAAGCCACATAAATGCTAAAGTTCTGTTGTTATTTCATCTTGTGGTCTGAAGCCAAGAGTGAAAAAATCATCTTCATCAGTTGCAGTTGAGTAACAATTGTAGGGTGGCATTTCAGCATTCCATTCAGCCACCAACATACTTTTAGATGCATTTGTATCTAATAATTTAAGAGAAGCAGGGCTAGTGGATCGACCAAAAGTTGATACAGTCTTTTCTCGTAGCATAATCACCTCATCATTCTCATCTGGATGTCTACAGAATATTAAAATAAATATTCAATTATAATAAATGAAAATAATGTAATTGTATTACCTGTTGTGATCATTATAATTATCATCAAACACTGAGATTGCGAGTTGTTTAATGCGAGATGGTGATGATGAAGATGCTGATAATGGTCTATGTTTTTTACTATTTGTAAAAGTAGTCAAATTAATTGGTTTATCACTAAAATGCTCGTTTGAACTTGTTTGAGTAATCTGTGAACATTTTAAATTTATATTATCTACCACAGGATATCTATACAACAATAGTTTATACCATTATAGGGTGTTGTTTTTTGTATCTTCGCAAGACTCGATCTCCCCAAGCCAATAAAATTTCCCAGTCAGGAGGAGGGTTTAAAAAACAATCTTCCTTGTTTAATAGTATTAAAATTCTGGATAAATCTTTTAAAACTGGTCTAAAATGAAATAATTGAGTAGGTACTTAAATATAAATTAAATTATATAAACAAAATTGAATATATGCATACCGATATGCTTGAATTGCAGAATGTTGGCGACTAGGACCCCGAAGTTCTCGGACTTGTTTTCTAGTTTCATTTAACATCGATAAGAATACTGGTGCATCTGGTCGTAACTTTTCTAATTGTTTGAAAAATTCTAATCTGTCGCAGTCGTCACTTTCTATAAAACCACATTATAACTTAAAAATAAAATAAAAACAATACTAATATTTAAGTACAATACCTTGACTACGATGAGAACCGCTAGTTAAGGGTCCCAAACTAGGTGACATACGAGATTTTGACCTAATATTTGAACATTTTTTAAATTTGACTACCATTCCTACAACCAATAARATAGTTGAGACTATTAGAAATCCTATGATAACACCAACAGTTATTGCAGCAACTTGACCAGACAATTTTATATTTMCGAATATAGTCTTATCTAATATAAAACAATTAAAATCAAATCAATATTATAAAAAAATATTATGTAGGTACATAATACATATTTAATTATTTATACACAAACCAGATATTGAGCACACACGGCCCATTTGATGGTAATTTGTAGACCATGAATATTCATACCCTGATGGACAACTTTCAGCACACTGACCTGTAGTCGCAATTAACACTTTCCTACATTTTTTGCAGAGTCCATCGGTATCACATTTTAAACAGTCTGAATGAGTGTTGTTACAGTTTTCTATTGCACTATTACTATCTACAAAACAGAAATTTAAACACCTACAGTTAAGTATTAAATGTAATGGCAAGACAATGTGGTTTAATTTACTTGCCTGCATATGAATAAAGCGTCTCGGCAATAATGAAAATCGAAACGATTACCAATTTGATTTTTCTTTGAATCAAACTCATAATTTTCGCTCATTTTCATTTCCCGAAATCTGGATGGCGAGCACTCATAGTCGGTGAATATAAACGATTCATATTTCCATCCTCGAGTTGTGTATGAAAATTACTACCTAAGGAATTTGTATTTTATTTACAACTGATGAATTACTGAAATCGTAACTGATTAGAAAAGATTTCCCGACCGCTGTCACAGAAATAACACATCGACCATTTCGTATCTACTATCTAGTTTGTCTATGATTATTTAATTATATAACAAACAAATATAATAAACGTAGGCACAACGAACTAAGTTACATTACATCCTACATATAATAACAATAATAATTATTATTATTATTCATCTCGCTATCTACGTTCAGTGTTCAGCATAATATTCTACAACATTCATCATGACAAGACCATCTCTTTAATACGCATACATGACACATGCAATGCAATTTATCATTTATCATTCCTACACACCACTACCATGGACTATATTACGTATATATTTATAATTTATATTATTTATGTGTACAATGTTATTGTACGTGAGAGATTTTTTGTTTTTCAGATCTTCAGAATCCCTTTCTCGAACTAATCAGTTTCACCAGTTACCACCATCAGAGTTGGTTACACTGTGAATTAAGTTTTTTCACTGTGGTAACACTATACCAACACGTTGGCGTGGGTGGGTAATCCATGATAGATCCACAGAATATATTATGCAATTTTATGTATTTAATTAATATATGAATATACTTTATTTTTGTTAATATATTATTAATTTTATTAAATTTCATATAATCTGTGACAGAATAGATAAAACAGTAAAACAGATATATATTTATCTTAGTTCGTGGTTGTACCTGTCCTGTCCCGTGTTGGGGACGTTGGGGTACGTGATGCAGACGATGCAATACATTGTGCTTGTACAAGGTTTGCCTACATCCGTTATCACGTCATATTACGGCTCATGTTGATAACAAACGATAAACTGATTATTTTGGTAAACATCAAACTATTTTGCAAATTATCTATTCTGTTTCTGTATTTCTGTATTTATGTGATCAAACTAAATAACTTCAATAATTGACATAAAGTCACGAAGTAATGTTTATATTTTAGAATTTAATGTTTCTAAGACTTTAAAGTTAAAGACTACTACTTACTAGACATAGTTAACATGGCGTGCCATAATTTCTGGATTGCGGTAATTAATTTACCTCGCTATCAGAACTCAGGACATAATCGATTTATAAATTAAAAAGTGTTTCATTGTTTTGATTTTGTATTTTATGAGTTCTCGGTTTCATTTTGTAATGCCCGATTGAAGTAAATCCCAACTTTATATTGCATTGATACTTTGTTGCGTTAACACAAGCTATGGCGTCAGCAGATCTAATAGGCTTGAATAAAACTTGGGAACTTTCATTGTATGAACTTCATAGAACTCCACAAGAGGTTATCACAGATAGTACAGAAATTGCTGTATCCCCTCGGAGCTTACACAGTGAATTGATGTGTCCAATCTGTTTAGATATGCTAAAAAAAACCATGACAACTAAAGAATGTCTTCACAGGTATAAATATTGTTAAACTAATATAAATAAATTTGCTATATATTATAATATTGGTTTTCAGGTTTTGTTCAGATTGCATAATTACTGCTCTCCGTTCTGGTAATAAAGAGTGTCCTACTTGTCGAAAGAAACTAGTTTCTAAGCGTTCATTGCGCCCAGACCCAAATTTTGATCTACTTATATCCAAAATCTATCCCAGCCGTGATGAATATGAAGCCCATCAAACCAGAGTATTAGAAAAATTGAACAAATGCCATAGCCAAGCAAATTTAGTGCAATCCATTAATGAAGGCATAAAAATCCAAACACAAAATCGTTTGCAGCGTTCCAAAAAAAGTCAACAAGATGAACTAAATGAAAGTAGTTCTTCATCTACTCTAAAAACTTCTTCCAACAACCTTGAGATTGGTAAAGATAATGTTACTAGAACTGAAGTTCAAGCAAAGGTAGCCAAAAAACTTAAAACTGTAATGATTTCTGAAAATGATGGTCCCGCATCCTTGTCAGCTGACAGATCAGATATTACTGAATGTGATGGCTCTTCAAGAGGAGTATCAGTAGATGAAATTGAACTGGTTTTTAAGCCTCATCCAACTGAAATGGGAAGTGAYAATCAATTAATAAGAGTGTTGAAAGAAAATTCTGTACGATATATTAAAACTACTGCAAATGCTACTGGTAAATATATTTTAATTTTTAATTTAATAATAAAAGCTCTAAATATGAAGTATAATTTGTATAATTATTAGGGGAGGGAGAGGGAAGCTGAACTAAACTTACTCATTACTAATATTATAGCTTAAAAGTATTAAAGCTAATTTCTTCGCTCAGAATTATGAATTCCGACAAAATGACTTATAAAGTTTTAGCGTTTTAGCTTAAAAAGTTCAAAAATAGCTTTGTGCCTACTCTTCTTCATATTAAAAATATTTTAAACATAAATTACTAATTTTGATTACAATTATTCAAATTATAACAATAAAAGTCATAATATATTATTAATCTTTAGATTGGATCTTGTCAAACAATAAAATTTTGTATATGAAAATAGCATGAAATGTTAATCAAATTAGCCAATTATGYGTATTATTACTATTATTACCTAGATAGACTTATTAATTGTAAGAGTTAAAGATAAAATTATAATATAAAATYTACAAAGATTTTCAAGATAYTTAAATTTAATGGTGTTAATAAAAAAAAATTAATTTTTGTTCGTTTGAACAAAAGTTTATTTAGAAAAATAACTGAAAACATTCATACTTTTTTAAATATATTATTCCAAAAAATTTAATTTTCTTCAATGTACCATAAATATATTTTACAATTTATTAACTTATGTTTAGTGATATGTTAGTCAACATTTTTATATTTAAATGGTTAGACTTATATGAAATATATATTTTGTTTTTAGTTGATCATTTAAGCAAATACTTAGCGATGCGACTTACATTAGATCTCGTTCCTGTACTTCCTGAACGAGCTCTAAGCTTCTTAATCTATGTATCACCGACATCTGATCAATATGTTCCACTAAATGGAAATCAGACTTTACGACAGGTCCACGACAAATATTGGAAAATGAATAAACCATTAGAAATGTTTTACTCGTTTAACTAAGTTATGCCAAACTAATTTGTAAATTATACATTTTTTACTCTTCTTTACCTTTAAAATAGTTTTAAGAAATGTAAATAATAATAATATTATAAATATAAGTTATTATTGTATGAATGCTTATAACTTAAATTTTATTTGCTTTAAATTGTGGTGTTATACTCTCTTTTAGTTATTAGTGAACAATTTGCACATATARACTGATGTCAAACTCCCTAAGTGGTGTCTAGGTCATAGGTTATAATTGTCGTACATTTAGTCAAATGGCTAAAACTGTTAACTGTTAACTTGAGTATAGTACTGTAAAATTAATGTTTTTTTATTTATTTAATTTAGTTGAGGACTAATTGAATCAGTCATTTGATAAATCTGATTCTATAATTTCTATAAATCTTTTCCTAACCTAAACTTTTGGTAAAACAAAAAAAAATTGTTCTATAGGTACAATTAGGTTTTATACACACTACAATTTTCACTGCTATCAAAACATATTTTTAAGATAGACAAGTTGGGATTCTTTTGAAATATCTTACATTTTAAGAAGAATCCAAAACTAAAATAAGTATAAAACATGTTGATATTTTTTTTAGATAATTCGGAGTTTTCAATAGACAAGCTATAAACTTACGCAAGAGTAATTTTTAGTTTTAATGAATTTGATATAATTGAGTATTTTAATAAAAGTTTGAAGACATTATTAATATTGTGCTTGTCTATTGCCATTTTATTGCAATTGTTGAGCTAGATTTATAATAAAAAGCTAATAAAAAAAACTATTGCCATATATTTTGTTATATGATTGAATAGTCCCTACTCCCTACTCTTGACTCAATTCTGTCGTCTTCTTATTTCAACAATAGTGTATTAAATACAACACCTACACTATGTCATTTTTGACCCGGTGTTCTATTTTAGAACCTATACAAATATATATTAGTTTTACACTTTGATGTTCCCATAATTTTTTATGAGAGTAAACTACACCGAAGAATGCCAGAATATAGGTGTTTTATAATTTTAAGATAAAAGTATTGAATGTTTAATTGACAACCAAAAAATTACTATTACATTTTTGACATAACAAAAAAAAAAAAAAATATATATATATATATAATTAATTATTGAAATGCAGTAGAATAAAATACTGAAAACAACGATTACAGGAAATACCACTGAAAAAATGACAACAATTGTTGTGTAATTTATATTTCTGTAATATTTATTATTTTAACATTTCTGTTGAGTGTTGCTGATATAACTGTAAAAGTAGTGGTCTAATATCAGTGAATTGTTATTGGGCGTTGCTCAACGGTTTGGTAAAATCCTATACTTTTATGAATGCCTTACAAATTAACCTTAATTAATATTATATAGTATTTAATATAGGTAGTTTAAATTTTGAATAAATAGTGAAAAATAAACTAAAATTTAGAAAAAATTATATGTTTCTCATTTTTTTTATAATTTGTTTGAGAATATACAGCATATATGCAGTGTACCCTATAGAAGATAACTGGTTTTACAAAGATTGTTTTTCAGAATATTAATTTTAAAAAAGTTTCATTTTAATTCTATATCTTAAGGAGGCTGCAGTCGCTAATGTTTTAAGGAGGTGGATATAGGCAGTTTAACATGATAATATTAAAGTGACTTGTAAGTGTGTACAAAGTAAACGCATAGAAGTAAGTGTGTATACATTTTATCTGTAATTTTTTTGGGCGGAATTTCCTAGGTGACATCTATTGTTGACTAATTGTTAAAATATGTCAACATATGTTTGTGATTTGTTTTGCTTTACATATTAATTATTTATATAATATTAATGATAAATAATTTAAGTACTCRAATATTTCTCAGCAGAGAAAACTATACACATAATTTGAGAAAATACTTCCAATAAAAAGTTTATCTTTTTAAATTAACAATTTTTTTATAACAATGTTGTCAGTAAAATTTTTTAGTAAAAATTATAACAAGAACAGAAAAAAAATCAAAAGCTTAAGGTAATATTTGACAAAATAAAACCACTATAACTAGAAACCATTATTAATTCAGTCTTAAGAAATTTGAAATATTAAAAATAATAAATATTATTATTATTATTGATTTTCCTATTTATTCTATAATTCAAATTTTATACCTTAGAAAATTAATTATACTCATTAATTAGTAAATGAAATAATTTTAACAAAATCAATTAATTTTAACTACTGGTTATAATCAAAATAAATAACTCAAAATTATTGAAATAAAAATTTGATATAAGAAATTCTACTGTGTATAAGAACATTACTACAATCAGATTAGTTAATAATTATATTTTAAAATATATATTCAGTACAATATTTGCATTTATGTATGAGTTTTAGCTTTTTCTTCTTTTAATTTTAGCTTAAAACATTTTGCTTCCATTTCTTCAAAATGTTCTGCAAATATCATTTTGAGGGCAGGATACATCAATGGCAATTTGTGTAAAACATTTGGTGCAATCTATAAATWCAAAAAACTTTTTACTTAATTTTTTTTTTATATTTACTTAAATAAGTGAATCAAAATGTGTAATAAAATAAGTATTGATAAATTTAGATAGTTAGTAATATTATAATAATATCTATTGAAATTAAAATGTCTAACTAAATATTAAGTAATGTGAAGATAATAGTATTATAAAGATTTACTAGATGCCGAGACAAACAAACTGGTGGTTGGTGACTCCACCCTCCTGCCAACGTTAAGTATTTATATTGGTATTTTGCGTAACATTTACTTACATAAACTAAAACCCCAAATAAATTGTTGGTAAACGGAATCACCAACCACCGGTTTTTTTGACGTGGACTATATTTATGTATGATTCATTTTTTCATTAAAAGCCTAGGTTTCAGGTTTTTTTAAATTTTCCATTATTTTATAAAATTTAATTTTACAGSAATAATTCTCAGACCTTGTAAATTGAGGCAATGAATTGTCGCATTTTGATGATATTTTTTTTTTTTTTTAGAAAGGAATACTTTCTACAGTGCGCATTAACATTTGATTATTGATTACATTGTTAAAAACAACAATTAAAACCTTGTAAAACATATTCCTCTTTCAAAAATAACAAAAAAAAAAAAAATTTACAAAATCAATTTCTTTTCAAGGCGTGCGTGAGTTTTTCCTGTCAGGCATGTCTTTGAACAAAAAACAGGTCATCCGTAGGCCCTTTTATTTGGTTACAATTTACAATCCATATAATATTGGCGCTTTAATTCTTGAATATGGTACATTAATTGAGATTTTATAATTATTTTATGGAAAACCGCAAACCTATAATTTATTGAAACTTAAAATGTTAGCTCCGTATCTGTCGGCAAATTTAATCTTAATGTTTTACCGTCATCAGAGAACTATTATTTTAGGAGCATCAATAAAAACAGTAATTTTTATGACTTTAAAATTCTGTTACTTTTGTGTTCCAAACTTTTAACATTTATTATAAGGTAATATTTGAATAAACATAAAAATAAATAGTATTAAAATATGAATAATACCTCCATGTTATCAAAAGCTATTCCAACGTTACTTGGAAGATCATTATTTGGCATATATGGAATTTTTGCATAACGTTGACTAAAATGAGTGAGTATGGTAAATTTAGCATTCATTTTTTTGCCGATATTTATAGCTTGGGACATAGTTGAATGCATTTTCCGTCTGGCTTCAGACACTAACTGATCTTCCATTGTAGCTTCATGAATTAAAAGATTACTATTGTTTCCTAAAGAAAAAAATAACTAATAGTTTAATTTAAATAAATAATTATAATATTTATTAGGAAAGATTTATAATTATATCGTATGTTTTGACTTATTTTAAAATTTATTTCTGTAAGCATAAATATTATTTTTCATTTACAAACCTAATTTGACTAATGAATCACAAGGCATTGTATCACCAGAATATGTTACTTTCCAACCATTTTTATGAGTAAATGATACACCAAAAGCATTAGGGCAGTGTCTTACTAAAGTAGTTTCTATGTTTGACATATTAGTTTGTTTTAATAAATCATTTATTCTTAACTTTGTAGATGATTCAAAATCCTTTAACATATTAATATCATTATAAAATAAACTTTATTTGAAGTTTATTTAGTTACATTTATTTAAGTATTTATGCCTTTACAATTTACCAAATCTGAGTTAGACACAATTTGAAACTCTTTATTTAGTTCTGCAAATCTTCTGTGATAAAAGTTTAACCAAGTCATAATTTGTACAGGTGCTAGTAAATATATTGGCTGATTCAGTTCAAGCAGTTTACTTGCTTTCATTTTTTGACGTACACTTAATATTCCGATTAAACCAATATGATGGTCTGCATGTAAATGAGACACATAAATAGCTTTTAAGTCACGCAAAACTGTTTCAGCACCAGTTATACCAAAGTGCCTTACTAATTGTCCATATGTTCCTTCTCCAGAGTCTAACAATACACATTCTTTTTCACTAGATAACATTTAATATTAATATTTTTCTATACAAAATGTAAATAATTTCTTACCCAGTGTACATTAGAATACCACTAGTATTTCTTGTTTTACTTGGTATACATGAACCTGTACCAAGAAATGTAATTTTAGGATAAATATTTGTATCTGTGGGAGAAGCATTTAAAATATCCTGTTTTACTTCAGCTAACTTTTCTTTAAAACCATCAACCTTGAATGATTCTTCAATAAACTCATTAACATCTAAACTTAACGTACTAGTCCTAAATTGTTTTTTAGTGAATTAATATATTTTATATTATTCATAAACAATATGATAGTTTACCTGTCTATATATTTGTTTGGTCTCAAATTAAATGACAAATTGGTTTGCCCATTTATCGTTAAAGAATTTCCCCTTGAATTTGAGTCAATTATTTCTTCTTGTTGACTGATGACTAAAAAAAATAAAAATTGCTAATTAATTCGGTTTTATTCGACTTATATCTGAATTTAAATTGAAGGTTTCTAAAAACATTTAGCACTGTCGCATATTTTATAAGTGATCAATTAAAAAATTTGGTGATTTGTAAAAATCATGAATTATTTTGTAGAAATATAGGCTGACAAATTACCAAATTGTCTGATAATGTTTTTAAATATTAAATGTGATTTATATTTATATTAAAAATAATTTAACTTTGTTACTTTTACCAATTGACCAAATAATGCGATAATACTTCTGAAAACTGATCTGACAACGTTTTGATGTCTACTTGAGATCAGTGGCATGGCAAAGGAGGTAATTGAGAGGTGGACGCCTTTAAATTTTTTTAAAATAGCATTCAATGTTATGTTAATAAATCTAATAATATGGTTCTATAATTGTCTAAGAGAGGTTATTTCCTCAGTGGCGTCATTTGGGGAGGGGCAGGGTGTGCATTTCCCCCCTTATCATTAGCAGGCCGAATATGGACCCCAAGCCCGCTATAAATTAACATTTCAAATTATTTCTTTAGCTTCACTAATATTGATTTAAATCAAGGTGTTGACATATTGTTTGGTACCTATTATGAAGACTAGAAGATACCCAGTTAATGTCTAGCATCTTACATTCTAACTATCTAAGTTGCACTTYAAAAACATAAATTAATAATAAATATTTAATAGTTTATTGTAGGTATGTTTTATTATATTTTTTGTTTAATACATTTATACTCATATTTGGCGTAAATAGGAGACATCAATGGCGGTAAACGGTAAATTTCCTTTTAAAAGGTCATCATATAATAGCTAATAGGTAACATATTGGGTTGGTGGCAGTATTGTGATAAACAGTTCCCACCCGTTTTCCTGGTTTTTGAACTGGATAAAGGTAATATTGGGTATCCCTCTACAATCTACATAGTAAATTATATATGTGTATAATAATATATTAATATGTATTATTTAGTCATTGTTATCCCTAAATAAAGTGAATTATTTATGTCTTATCTCAGATAACCGTAATAGTAACCTAACCTAACCTAACTAGTATGTATAAAATTATATAAAAAGGCTATTCTGTATTGAGATAAAAATGTAATTGTTAGCGAGCGGTTTTAATTTTTTTTTTTTGTATTATGG